GAGGGCGAGGCCGAACCACGGCGCTGAGGCTGATGTCAGGAAACAAACGAAACCAATTCATAACGATCACATTCAAAATGGAGTGTATAAGTGTTGTTCACAAACACAAAGATTTCATCGACAGCTTCAGTAGATACAGACGAGTGATCACCAGAGGAGCAGAGTTATGGTTTGAACATTAAAACATTTCTGACATGTGATATTTAAAAGAAGAGAAAGCTCCCAGAGAATCTAAACACCAACTAATAACAGGAGTTCATCTTTGAGTCGAAGATGTAAATGATTGAACATTTCACTCGACTCGAACTCTACTCAGGACACCAGATATTTACTGTCATCAGTGCGATTAGTTATTAACCCATCAATCATTAAAATAAGAACAAAAGAGAATAAAGAGATAAAGACATCCAGGAAGCAAAGTCCCAGTTGATCAGCTGAAGGAAACGTTGATGACGTTAAACTGAACACAGACTCTGATCGTGTTTTCATGTTAAACCAGAGAAACGTCCTGACGCCACGAGTGACACTTCGATCTGATCCGTCTCATTCGTTTGTGGAAACTTCTTCATTCTCGAGTTTCAGCTGGAGACTCACTTGTGAAAATAAGAGTTTGTTTTTCTCTGCGCAGCTTTAAACTCAAAGATTTTTCCTTTAAGTCATCGGGTTGATTAAAGTGAGTTCGAGGTTAGAGTGACTGAGAATATGGAGAATGTTTCCTCTGTCATGCAGGTTGTATGTGAGAACACCAACGTCCGAGTGAGCGGTGCGTGTGAACGGTCATGTGACGTGTGTTGTCGGGAGGATGGAGATTATTCCAGATATGGAGCTGAAACACTTTTTGGGGCGGAGATGGTTTTAGTTTTAAAACATATCAGTGACCTAAGAAGTTAAACGGCTACAAACCTGATCTTCACTTCAGACGATGCTGAGTTTTATAAACAGCTCAGAGAAAAACCCAACGTCAGCCGTCTTCTGAGGTTTTCAGTTCTAGACCCACTTTTGCAGGATCAAGTATTTTCTACCCCTTGAATCAGCGTCTCTGTTTTTCTTTTTTTATAAAATCTATCGTCACATGATGCAGTCTGTCGACCTCAGTCCTGTGTCCTCTCATTTTTCAGCTGTCGCTCGGACGCTCTGTTTTCGCTGGTAACCAGCTGAACTGGTACGGTTCCTGTGGCACCAGCAGATTTATGTCGAGTCGCTTTTGTTCTTTCTCACTGTCAACTGTTCGATACCCGAGCAACGTCATGGCACCTTTACACACTTCCTGCACACGTTTGACCTTGCTGTGAGGCAGCAGCGTTCGCCAAGCCTGGGAGATGTCGGCTGCGTTTCGTGACGTGATTTTGAAGGCATCTTTCTTGGAGCCTTTTCCTTTTCCGTGGGTCACTCTGTAGATCCAGTCCTCGAGCTGCCTGGTCATGTCCAGACCTATGAAGTCGTACAAGGCACTTATTTCCTCCAGTGGGTTGCGTGCCACGTCCTCGTATCGCACCATTTTGTAGCGGCCTTTCAGAAATGGAGGGGGCTTCAGGGTGGCCCTCTCGTTGATGCGCACATGGCTGCGGCAGATCTCCTGTATGACTTGATACTGCACCTCAGCTGCTGGTATGTTTCTTTGCTCCAAAACGATGGCGTTATCGCTCATGAAGGCCTTGGACGAGGCCTCTCTGGACCGCACCACAGCCCGTGGGTCCCGGACCAGGTGGATGATGCGGAGATCTAAGTTTGGGTCCTGCAGAAGTGGGTAGAGGGATTCCAGCTCAAAAAAACGCACTTCTTTTAACACCACGTGGCTGTAAGTGCCACAGGCGTCCTCCGCCCCCTGCAGGCCCCTGGCTCCACAGGTCTGCGAACACTGGGTCTGGTTGCTGAACTCATTGCGCGGCGTGAGAGGACAGGCCGGTGGCGAGCACAGCGCTCGACTGTGACTCCACATGAACAAGGAGGAGATATTGCACTGCTCCGGAAGGTACGCCTCCATCACTGAGAAGTCGCACTGAAACACACTCCGGAACAGATCCCTCACCGCCATCCGGAGCGACCGCGCCCCCGATTTCTGCAGTTTGGACCACACATGCCAAGACGGCTCCATGAGGTAGAAGACAGACGGGTGCTGACTGAACACCTGACCGAGGAAGGAGGAGCCTGATCGCCAGGACGACAGCAGCAGAACGTGAACTTTGGTGTTGGGGTTGGTGGCGTCGCACTGACTGAGCTGGACGTACCAGCCACAGAACAGCACCACTGCTGCCCCCTGCAGGATCACCAGGAAAATCATGGTGCTTAGGCTGACTTTGCAGCGGGGCATGATGGCTGCGGGTCGGTGTGACTATCAGGTGCTTTCTGTCTCGTGTTGCCTTGTCTGCTGAGGACAAGAGACAGAGACAGGGGGGGGAGACAGAGGGGGAGAGAGAGAGATAAATGGATATGTTAATCAGGAAATCTTTGATGAACTTACAGACAAACATTTGACATCATCTCGTCAGTTTCTCTGCTGCCACGTTTAAACGGTTATATCGAGTCAAGGCACATGAAGACTCTCAGGTTACTGCAGAGCGACACCTCTTAAAGCTGCATAGAGTGACATCTCGCATTACTTGTGGTAGGTAGACCTTGTGCCCTATAAACATTCACAATCACATCCACGATCCAATTAGAGAATCTTTGTTTCGATAGAAATTCACTTTTCTTACAACCCCCACAAGAAACAAGGAGTTTGTCAGACTTCCGTACATTCGCGGTAAGACCCCCCAGAGCAAATATCCCCTTTCCAGCCAAGGCTTCAAGGTCTGGCAACAGTGGCCGGATACTCTGACGTTCCTGCCCCTGTGCATTCTGGGATCCGAGACGAGTCGACCACATTGACCCAGACTTGAAGTGGACACAAAGTAAGAAGCCACAAAGGGACGACCCCTGACGCTAAGTGGAATCCACTGAGCCGTGTTAGCCCCTCTGAGGGTTCGATGGCATCTTATTCCCAAGAGGGCTGTCACTACCTGGCTGACTGCCTGAGATTTTGCGGGATCTCGGACCACAGACATTCTGACGGCGTCAAGTTTTAAGCCTAAAAGTCTGCAACTGGAAGTAGCGATGCTAGCAGATGTAGCGATGCTAACACGGTGTGTGTGTGTGCAAACGTGGCTCCAGAGGAGAGTCACACTTGGATGACACCAAACCAGCAGGAAGCATGTCGTGTCTTTAACCGGACATTTTCCAGAGTTCATATAAGTTGTCTGTATTTTTACGGCTCAGTGCTTCACGGTACAGTTTTGCCGTTCACCCTCAAAGTGTATCTGTGTGCAGCACTTTCTCCAACACACAACACTTACACACCGCCGGCTCAGCCATCCGGGCTTCAACCACCGAGCCTCTGGTTAGTGGACAACCCGCTCTACCTCCTGACTCTCTGAAAACAGCTTTACACGCCAACTCAGTCTTCTATCCCGGACTGTGAATGAATAAATTATCTAAACAATGAGGGGAATAAAAGAAAAGGACACACACACACACACACACACACACACTCACACACACACACACAGAGTGTTGCTAAGGCCTCTCTGTCAGAGTTTCCAGTGAGACACCATGATCACTGCAGACGGGAAGAGATCAACTCACGCGAACCACAGTGAACAAGTCCTGACACGAGCTCGCCACCTTCAGACCCTCGAGATACAAACACCAGACAGACTTCAGGACAGATCCGTCCCCCTCTCTCCGTCCCTGACCTCACTTCTCCTCTACAGCGGCTGTTGTTCAGACAGAGGCAGAACGACCCAGTGTCCATTCATGCAGTCACTTACAGACCTTCCCTCTTGTTAGAGGTCATCTTCCTCACCGTAGTTACACAGTTACACATTAGCAGCACACAGGAAAATAGCTGAGGGCCACATTTGTTCCATGTAACGGAACATTTGCATATGAATTTAGCTGGAACTGTTTCCTACGTCTCATGTGCTGTAACTCATGTAGAAACAGTTGTGCTGACAGTAACTGACAGTAACAGACACCCTTCCTCTTTTTTTACTTTAACTAACAATGCTGCTTTGCACTTTGCAGATGTAACCTCAGAGTTCATGTTCTCACTTGATGAGGATCCTCTTGGTGGCCCTGCCCTGTGTAGCTGGCAAACTTCTTGTTTCACGCAGAAGCACGAGCGGACAGTTTCCTGTGTCAGCCAGACGACAAGTGGCTTCAGTTTTCTGACAAGTGGCTTCAGTTTTCTGACAAGTGGCTTCAGTTTTCCTGCCATTACTATTTTTAAGTGAGTTAAAAGAGTTCCTTCTCCTTTCACTCTTCGAGGTGAAACCCTCTGCAGATCTCTATCACAGAGCCAAAGATAACTCCGGTCTGAGAAACTCTTTATTTCACATCTCAAGATAAAGTTCCGACACATCCACATTAGAATGTTCTGGCTGAGGGGGAGGGGTGAGGGTGGGGAAGTCATTTCATCATAAGTCTCTTTGGTCAGTGAAGCAAAATAAAGAATTGCATTAGAATCTTGATTTTGGAGTTAACCTAACCTCGACATTACATTACAACATGAGCTGAACAAATGAATAGATCCACCATCAGTAAAATCACACACATCAAACACTGCGTTAAATTTTACAAGCAAAATGGTGAAATAGGAAACTGAAAACCTGGAGATTTGGAACTATGGACTATTGTCTTAAGTTAGCAAATACAGCAATTCCTCTAAGTGGGTGCGGCCGTGAACTGGAATCTGGGAATCAGAATATCTCAAATAACTTCCTGTTTCCTTAAAATGTCTTCAAATAAAACCCGGGTGTAAGGACGAACAACAAAGTGAAGCTAAGGCCGCTCTAAGAGTTTCCTGTCACTTTATCTGCAGTTGGTCCCTGAACTATCCATTGTTACGCAGCATCACACACACGTGTGGCATTAGCTCGGAGGGCTACATGGTTTATCCGGCCGGTAGCATATTGTCTCAAAGATGATGACATCATTTATGGTTTTAACAGTAAGGTCACAAAAGCACAAGATGACGACATCGTTATTGGGAAGTTCAAGTTTTACTGAGGAACATTTTTATGAGAATTCTCGATCTAAAAGAACTCGGGTCAAGCAGTCGCCTCTGTGTGCAGTCAGATCTTCCAATCAGCTGTTTACACTGAGACGAGCTGAGGAGAAACCGTTTGGAGATCAGTCTGTAAATTAGTTATAGTTCAGAATCATAATGATGTGATTTAAAATGAGCAGGTTAGGGAACGTTCACAACGTGTACATGGATCTTTGATTCATGGTGGAGAGGTCGTCTGAAGAGCAGGAGGAGGAGTTAGAGTAATGGAAGTAACAGAAGTATTAGAAGTAACAGAAGTATCTGAAGTAACAGAAGTAATAGAAGTAACAGAAGTAATAGAAGTAACAGAAGTAATAGAAGTAACAGAAGTATTAGAAGTAACAGAAGTATTAGAAGTAATAGAAGTCATAGAAGTAATGAAAGTA